GCATTTACTATGGCATAGTAGGAATGATAACTATGATAACAGCCCTTGAAAAGAAACAGGAAAATCTGGGTTAGGTGTGAGAACTGATGGACAGGAACCTCAGCCATGGAGGAAAAACAGTTTTGTCCTACTTTCTGAGCAGATGAGAATTAGAGAGAGAGTGAACAACTTCCAATTTTAGGTCAATATTTTCACCCAGGGAGAACTCAGAAAAACATATCATCTTTTGGCACATAGCAATTGTGTCCATGGAGACACAGACCATCCTGTGTAACCCTTGACACTTTACTAAAATAAAAAACGATTACTATTGTTTATAAACTAACCAAAATAAATCCAGAAGAAAAAAAATAAGATGCAAGGTTATGTCTCATTGGTGAAACTACTTCAGCTGCCCACTTGCTCAGATTTTAGTGCACAGAGTTATATGAACCTTAGCCATTCAATCGTTCACTTTTCAGCCCATCTGCCTGTCTAGCTACCTATCCCAGACACACACATACAGCAAATGTACTTCTGATTTATTCATTCATGAGAAACAAGGGGAAAATGAAACACTTGAGTGATGTTGAACATTTATTTTTGCAAACATATATGATTCATCTAGAAAAAAATACTTTAAGGACATTGTAGATAATAGACAATAGATAATGTCCATGTACTTTAATACAATTGCTTGTGCTGTTTTTGTAAACTCAGCTGGGGACCCCAACTTACTTGTTGCTTAAGCAAAACTGTGTCATGTTCTCGTGCAAGAACAAAACCAGTAAATTAGGTCAGCTAAGAGAAAATAAATGTGGAAAACAATGCTTATTTGTAAAATATCTCTAACCACAAATAGTGTGTCTATGATGATTTGAAAAGTCACTACTTAAAATTTCCTCCGAAGTCAGTAGGTTCTCCTGTTCCCTACTTTTCTGTGCACTGCTAAAAACCTTGAATCAAAATGAGATGAACTACATTGAAAATGTCAGGAAACTACGCAAAAAGTCCATTGCAAGTCTTTAAATTAACCTGTGAGTGTTTAATGCTGATCAGAATGACTGGGTGAACTTGGTGCACTAGGGGCTTTGATTAAAAATAAATAAATAAATTCTGTTTTCCTTGTGCTGAGGGAAATCATTGCAGCATTTAGATTGTTTTAAGTCAGGCACTTATCCAATATGACTGCCCCTTGGAAGCTATTGCCAGCCTTAGCTATGAATGTCATTGGTTTGTTGGGTCACAGCAAATCCTTCTCATGCTGTTACAGAGACAAACAAAAAATGTGTTTAGTGAGGATGTGCAAGATTTAAAAATCTGGATAAGCTTGCAATAGATAGGTTAACTGTAATACAGGATACCAATTCAAGTTATTTCTGACAAAATGTATGGATTTGGATCTCCCTTGGCCTGGCATAATGGGAGGGAACAGAAATTGGATTGCTGATGGCATTGAGAGGGAAAGCAGACAGTGTTTGAAATCCAGTAGGTGCGGACAATATAAGGATCTTTTTCCACCCCACGGCTGCTGCTGCTGCTTTATAAGTAACAGATACTGCTAACTGGGGAGTTCATTTTGTCTTTACACTGACCAGGGCTAAGACAGCTGAGCACGCTGTGCCAGTGGCAGTGAGCAGTGTCTGACATCTCTGCAGAAGGCTTGGAGCTGATGAACGGTGCCTTGAGCTAAATGCATCCAACTCCGCACAAGTATCAGCACCCGCCGAGCTCACTCAGTTTGTTCTCACCTGAGGAAAGGACGGTAGCCCGGGGAGGGTTAAACGGACGTTAACTTCAAGCAGAACTGTGCCCCTCGGTGTCCACAGGTGGGCCAGGGCCGGGCCACCTCGCACGTCCCGGGGGGGCAGCCGGGAGCGCCTCTCCCTCCGCGGGCGCGGAGCGGGGCGCGGGGCTGTCCCACCTCTGGTCCCCTGTGGGGCACCGAGGGCACCAGGGCCCCGAGGGAGAGCGGGGCTGAGGGGGCAGGGGGCTCGGAGCCCCCGGGAGCAGCTCTCGGCACAGCCCTGGGGCCGCTCCGGGGCAACGTGGCACCTACCGATAAAAGGCGTGAAAGTACGGGAGAGCCACCAGGTCCCGGAGCTGATTTACTGCGGGTCTCGCCCAAAATCTGTGTTACTTGGGTGTAATTAGGATTGCACAGCATCTCTGCCCCGTCTGCCCACATCCCGGGCTGCCGCCTGGGCTCTATAGGTGCCCAGAGCTCCAGGCACACCCGCGTAGTGCTGCGTTCCCAGCTCGCCTTCATTCATATTTGTGCCGTGATTCAATATGTGAGCAAAGGCTGAACGCTAACGCGGATCGGCTGTGTTTTTAACGTACGACCCTTAAAAAGAGACTCTTTAGCCCGGAGCTGATTTACTGATGTGCTCAGTGCAGCCTCCTCCCAGCCGTGCAGCCTCCCCCCCACATCACAATAACGCTGCAGATTGTGGAAGGATTTGAGTCTGCAGGCAGAGAGAAAGGGATTAGGGCGAGAGCACTGGAAGTTAAATTGTGCTGCATATAAAAAATGGGCGGATTGGTCTCTAGATGAGAGCTTGGTACCACCTTCCTTTCTAAAATAAAATCTCTCTGGCATGAAGTCACAGCCTATTTCACATCCGGTTTACCCTGGGACGTATTACTACTGTCTTCGTAAAGAGAAAGCTTTTGTTGTATAGCGGCTGTCGGAATATTGGCAAGAGAAATTCGGGTGCTAAGCCCGGAGGA